ATACTTTATCTGTCGTGCTTGATGGAGAAGGTCCCACAGAGCACGATCAGGATCCTCTTTAAAGGTTGTCATATGTCTTTCATCATGGCATATGACTGTGACCGCATGTAGCACGAGAGAACGAAGCCATTCGGACCAATAGAGAATCCACCTCGGAGAAAACCGACTAAGCGTGAATATAGACACACGACAGGATGGATGCACCTCCGCGACGACATCCAGAAGCTCAGCATAACGTGCGAAAGCCAGGATGCTCAGCTGCTGCAGACAGGGCAACCGCTTCACCAGGGCAATGGTCGGGGCCCAATCACCTCCAAATTCACACAGTAGTGAAACATCGATATCTTCCGGGAGGGTTTGTTCGAGATAATCGCCTATGCTCTCGTCCGGGATCGGTAGGTTAGTGGAGTAGCTTCGAGCAAGGAGCCTTAACTTCTTAACATGCGGTAATATGCGGCTAACGTCTAGAAGTTGGAGTATGCAATTCTGGGGCTCAAGGGATTGTAACGGTAGTGTAATATTCTTATAGAGAATGGGCGCGACGATCTGACTCCACTGACGGTTGACGTGTGATAAGGCTCGCAGAGCTTCCCGCGACACGTCGCTCACCTAGACGCCGAGTTAGGAAATTCCAAAGAGAGGGTAGTGGCAGTCTTACTGCACCTGCCACATGTAGCTTCAGCTCTGGTGGCAAACGATCCATGGCTCATAGTTGAGGTGGGCCAAATCGATGAAGGGGACAGCACAACGAATGAGGAATATATATGTGAGTCATACGAACCAAGGACATGGGATTATTACTATCCGCCTCTCCACTTCACCGTGAGCACTAATTTTCAAGCAATTTGTCTCCCACTTAGTCTAATGCGCTGAATGGCTGACTCCGGCTAGTATAAAGAGCCCGTTAATCGAAAGAGCATGTTCGTCAATTAAATCCTTTCTGTAGCCACACTCATCCTATATGGGCAATGCCATTTGAAGAAGTAGCGTTAATGCACTTTTAAAGGTAGACAGCCCCATGGTGAGTGCGGACAATATCATTCATAGAACAAGTTGACGGGTCTAAGGAGGAAAAAGGAAAAGAGAAGAAGTTGCAATAATATTATCAGAGAGCCCCTGAGTACAGCAATGTTACCAAGCACACACAGATCCCTGTCAGGTCATCACATGTACATCGACACATAATAAGTCGCTGTGAGCACGACTTCAGTGATAGAGGCTGCAATATATTATCAGTTGATCGCATGGTTCACTATACCATTCAAGGAACCCGCCAAGTCCAAATTCAAAGGCTACTATGGCTAAACAATGAGTCATAACGAAGATAAGGAGGAGATAGAGTAACGCTCTTTGCAGTGTGATACTGACTACATTTAGCCAATCATTGCAAAGTATTATCCCCGTGGCTTGGATGTTTAACTCCGACGATACGGTATCACCATATTCTTTCACTTCTAGATACAACGCTAACCCTTTGAAAATGATTCTTTGTCCAGCTCAAAATATTTTATTCATTCCACAGGGGCCACAAACTATTCATTCTGCCCTACAGACAATTTCTTGGGCCAGGAGGAGCTCCATGTGGGTCCCGGAGGAGCTCCGAGATACTATAAGCTCGGGTATTCTGGTATCTGGCTCTTGATAATGCACCACTGGCCACTCCGAACTTCTCCCTGAAAGAAAATAGTAGATTGCTATCCCAAATCTAAGATAACAGAATATATACCAACCAACACTGGTAACCAGCCAATCTAAGCAATGTCCGCAAACGACATCCGAGGTCGACTAGCCCTAGTCACCGGCGCTTCAGGAGGGTCAGTTTTCTCCTGTAACTCCCCAATTGGCCCCCAAATCGAAGCATTAGGACTAAAAAACATCTGCCTATCAGCATCGGCTCTGCCTGCGCTCACAAACTGGCCGAGAATGGCGCCCACCTAGCCCTCACATACTCAACCAATGTCGCCGCGATACAATCTCTCCACAGAGATCTGCAAACCCGCCATCCCGAGCTCCGCATCTCCATCCACCAAGTCGACCTCCGCTCCGCTACCGACATCACCTCATTATTCGACCAAATCATCGCCCAACATGATGGCCACAGCCCTGACATTCTCATCTCCAATGCCGGGACCGGTAAACGAATCACCAATATCTGGGACATCGATCTATCGGACTTCGACGATATGATAACCACTAATCTCCGCGCCTCGTTCATCCTAGTCAAAGGCGTGGTCGAGCACATGAAGGCACAGCGCTGGGGACGCATTGTTTTTATGTCGTCTATTGCGGCGTATGGTGGTGGGATTAATGGGTGTCGTAAGTTGCCACCACTTTTCTGTATAATATACGCGCATAAGAAAAGGGTGTATTACTAATTACTTGACTTTGATATCTAGATTACGCAGCCTCCAAGGGCGGTCTCACCGGCATGATGAAGAACCTTGCTACCAGATTGGCTGAGTACAATATTAGTGTCAATGATGTCGCTCCTGCTATGATTGGGGACACGGGGATGATTCCCAATGCTGCAGCGGTGCCGGAGGTGGTGAAGGGGATTCCGCTTGGGAGGTTGGGGACGCCAGAGGAGACAGCGAATGTGGTTCTGATGCTAGTTACGACCGGGTATATGACGGGACAGAGTCTTTTGTTGGCTGGAGGTCTGAGATGATAATTTGACTTTCTTATATGAATTGGTAGTTAGGGAATATCTTCATGCCGTAGAGTTGATGATGACTGTGGCTCTTAGCTGTTTCTGATGTTGTACAGGTTTGTTCCCTGGTTGAATTAAGCTCGATGTAACAAGTGTGCGCAGATAATGACGATTGATTTCATATTGAAAAGTCATCTATGGGGGATAAAGTCCTGATTTAAGGAAAAGTTGAAGTGCCAGCGTGGAGGAGTGTAAGTATAAATGTATTGAATCGCAGATATAATCCTCACTATGGGGTTTTAGACGATCGCAATATCATTGTTTACTTTTACTATCAGAAACTTAGAGATTTGAATCGAAGACAATATTGAATGATAAACCTGGAATAAAACACGTTGCATACAGTCATTCTACATCTCAGCTACCACACAATCGGCTGACCCATCAAACAGGCAAAACAACCTTGACCCCCATGTACTCTCGCTGATGCATAATCTTTCCATCAATAAGCACCTGGTCAGCTCCAAGTCGATTGCGCACAGTATCCGTTGGGTCTGTGACAGTGGCAATCTGGATCTCGCGCCATTCACGGTTCGTTGGGACCAGCTGGCCCTGGGATGTGAGTCGACGGAATTCTTTGTAGACGCCTTGCTCCTCGACGCATCCTTCCCGTTGGATAAGGGGGGAGTCTAGCAATTATTAGCATAAATTTAATCCCTTCTGCATCTCAAAATCAATCACACCTACCATATGCAGGCGTCATTCTCAAATCACCAACCGAACTGTTGAACAGCACCAAGGACAGCCGCTCCTCATTCAACTGATCCACAGGTGGCTTATACACACGATGCCGAGTGGCCTTGAAGTGTCCTCCCGACACAATCTCCAAAGTATCCCCAATGTTAATGACCAGCGCACCGGGCTTGTATGGCACATAGTACCATTGCTCGTCGCGACCCCAGATCTGGAGGCACGAGATAGGGACGGAGAACAACAGCGTGGTCAAGCCAAAATCGGTGTGTCCATGCATACGGAGACCCTTCGAAGCCTCTTCAGTTTGCTTCTGCACCGGTCGGAATAGGGCGTGTCGGAAGTAGCCTTCTCCGGTTGGGCTGCCATGAGACTGGACGTTGTTCCAGAGGTAGTCGTCGGGTAGCTCAAGGACACGAGAGAAGAGGGTTAGAAGGCGTCGATTGACCGACTGTGTCAGGTAGTTGCAGAAAGCCTCGATCTCATCCATGAATGGATGCAGGCATGTGGGGACTCGGTTGATGTCCTCCCAGTCCTGCTTGTACCAGTTGAATTGCTCGATTCCGTCGGCGGGGCCACGGTTGCGCTATACGCAGAGGTTAGCTTCAATCGCATTGGAGAAGGGTGGGGTAGTATCTTACCTTGAATCCGTAAGGGTGCTTGTATCCAGACCAGAGACCTGTGTCGGGGTGGAACAGGAGGCGCTCTTTGTCTTCCTCGCTAATGTTGTTGTAGAGATACTGTGCAAGGGCGAATTGGCGGTGGAGCTGCAGATAAGACCTATTAGTAAGTGTACCATTGTCACTATTGAGGGCTTCCACCTACCTGCTCCAAGGAAACGCCGTAGTTCTCAAGGAAGAGGAAACCATCATCACGGATGGCAATCTTGACCTGTTGAATCAGATGATCTACTACTGCTGGGTCCTCTGAGTCGAGCAGCGAAAGATCAATTGACTTGAGCTGAGCAAAGTTGTGATTCTCCTTTGTTACCGGAGGGGGAACCCATTCTGGCACAGATGGCTTCCCGGGCAGGTCAGCTGAAGGGGGGTTGAATGGAGCTGTGGGTGCCATGGTGGTGTTTAGACAATGGAGAATAATATTGTTTGATTCGTTGTATGCAGTGACTGTGATATGGCTATTTGCTATTTCTTCTACTCCGAATTGAAGTCTGATTATATACACGTCTAGATTGGGACTATCTCGGCGTCCGCCATGCCCAGATTACCCAAGCCATGTGATACAGTTCAGGGGAGCTCTTCTGGCAGAGGAGCCACGGGATGCGTACAGTACTGCCTCATGAGCAGCAACAGATGGATCAATGGCATGATGGATGCTTATCGAGCCTCGCGTTCTTCCTCCAAACCAAGCCTCCTCCCTCGATGGCGCTGCTATCTTAGCGTGTCCGATAGGGTTGCTCTCGGATCGCCGAAGGTGGTTAGTTCGTGCCGATCAACCCAGCTAGTTAGGTATAGCTGTGATAACGATAAGGGAGGAGCTCCTCCCATAGCCTCCGCAGTGCAGGCTTGGCATCGCCATCCACGAGACATGTCGCAACAACTGGACACGCAGAAAAAGCCATTTAAAGGGGAGTTGAATGTCATTGGCATCCCTCATTCATATCACAAGCACTAATCTCAGAGTGTCGAAGATTACCACATCCAAATTCATCCAATCAAGATGTCGCGCCAACTTATCTCGAGCGAGAAGTTCCCTCCCAAGCCTCACAACTGTGAGTAGCTCCCCCAACTTGTTTGTTACCAGTCAAGGGCACTGGCTAACTTGTATTTGCAGGCCCCGCAGTCAAAGTTCCCGGACTTGTTTTTTGTGCCGGACAAACTGCCACTGGAGAGATTAAGCAAGCCACAGTAAGCATGCCCCCACTCAGCGTCTCCCTGGTATAAGATCCAGTTTTCTAACCATCTCAACAGCGAACTGTACTCCAAAACCTCAAGGAGGTGCTCGAGCTATCCGGGTCGTCGCTCGAGCAAGTAGTCAAGTACAATGTCTACCTGGCAGACATGAAGGACTTTGCTGCCATGAACGAGGTGTATATCGATTTTCTGCCCAAGCCAATGCCTTCTCGGTCGTGTCTGCAGGCAGTTCCTCCGGGGGATGGAACGGTCATTGAGATTGAGTGTATCGCACAAGCTTGAGTCATTTGGTTAATATTAGAGGGTCGTCAATGCATAAAAATAAATTCTCATCACATTTTAAATAGAAACTTTTGACTCTGCCAAACACTTTACTCAGTAGTGAATTTTCATGCTTTAGCGCTCCTTGCGTACATGCCTGTGCTGCGCTGAGTTATAATGTCTAGCACTAGGAATTAGTTCAATAGTTCCAGTCGTGCTGTGTAACTGAGTATACAAAGCCGACGATTATGTAGAAGCTAGCTCGCAAGTCAGCTGGGTATCACACTTCTGTCAGGTGACTGCGTGATTGGTCTTCCCCCACTTTCTCTTCTTCCCTCTCCCTCTCTTGCTTCACTATATCCCTTCGTCTATTTTTCCTACTACTTCATCAAATTCGTCAATCCTATCTCTATTTGGTCATGGCTATAAGCAGTACATGTTATTAGCCATTCTACAGCAGAAGAGTCTTCGATACGAGGCAATGCTCACATTCTTCTAGTTCAGCTAAATGACAATGTTTTCTATTCTATACAGTTCACTCTGTTCATGACCTTGCTACCTCAAACTCTGCCATATACCAATTCTGAATCGCTTTGGTGTCGCCTGTGATAGCGACCGTGTCATATGTCTTTCTAGCCTCCTTTGCCAAACTCCCATTGTTAACCATTCTCCCAGCCCACTTGCCATGCTTCCTCGCCGCCGCAACAATCTTCTCAACTGCAACAACAAACTCCGGCTCATCTCCCCGTGCAGGCACGTATCCGAGGAGAGACTGTGCCAAGTCATTGGGTCCGATGAAGACAAGATCCACACCCGGAACGGCGCAGATTGCGTCGACATTCTCCACACCAGCACGGGTCTCAATTTGAATCATGGTGATGATAGTCTCATTGGCTGACTTCATGTACTCGGGCGTAGTCAGACCATGGCCAATGGCAGGAAAGGCGGACCCCTGGCCCCGCAATCCCTGTGGCGGGAATTTGGCAGATGCCACCACTTGTTGCGCCTCTTCGACGGTGTTTATTTGGGGAACCATGATGCCGTGGGCACCCGTATCGAGCGCACGCTTGACAATGTCATGAGTGGGACCGCGAATGCGGATGATGGGGGATACACCCAGGGAGGAGATGGCTGCGACAGAGTTGTGCATGGCGTCGTCGGAGATATGACCATGTTCGCAATCAATGATGATACCGTCAACCCCGGTCAGAGCGACAATCTGAGCCATGCGCACGGAAGGAAGGGCCATGAAAGTCATTAACGGGTATTCTCCGGCTTTGATCTTGTTCAGAAGCCGCAGCCGAGGGTTGGAAATCTCGGTTGTGAGAGGAGTGGGGTAGGTCTTCGTGTAAGTCATCGTGTCGGTGGTATCAGGAGGATTCTGTGATAGGAGATGATGACTCTTACTGGACTCGCCGACATTGTCAGTTAAGTAGTTGGTCTGCTACAGGGATGTCGGTCGTGTTCAGGGAATTTCGCCCATGCGGGGAGGGAGTTGAACGGGAGGAGTGTTTAGCGCTCCGGGAGGAGCTCCGCCGATCCATCTCAACTCCTCTTCCTCCTCCACTCCTCCAGCAAAGGCTTGTCACACATGGACTGGACTGTGTTCATGTGGAGGATAAAAGATAAGGTTAGTGCGCTCCTCCCTCCTTATCTACCCGGCGCTTGATTGTCAGCGAATCAGTGACTCACCACGGTTCGTAACACACTCCACATCAATAGCCGGTCGGCATTACCCAGATGTCATGGATAGCACCGGCCTATCCAATCAGAATAACATGATATACACCTTTGACGCTCCTTAATATCTTGGCCAGTCTCCCCTGGGGCAACAGCTCACATGTCCTTTTCAAGCCTCCACTCCTGCTGTCATGGACAAAACAATGGATCTCAAGAAACGCCCCTCGTCCATCAAGTCGGAGGGCAATGTTTCCTCTGCAGAAGGGCAGGTCAATGATGTTGTCGGTGATGCGTATGAGCGCATGCCAGAGTCCCTACGCAGTCTTAGCGAAGATGAGCGCCGCCGCCTCAATCGGAGAATCGTCCGCAAGGTGGACCTCATGGTTCTGCCTACGGTTGGGCTCTTGTATATCCTGAACTACATCGATCGTCAGAACCTTGCTTCGGCCAAGCTGCAGGGCATCATGGAAGATCTCCACATGTCAACAGACCAATTTGCCACGGCCGTCTCAATCCTCTTCGTTGGATATCTGCCCTTCCAAATCCCCAGCAACCTCCTCATCACCCGAATCGCCCGACCGGGCATGTACATCTGTCTTGCGGTCACCATCTGGGGCTGCATCTCAGCTGCAACCGCAGCTGTTCACAGCTACGGCCAACTACTCGCCGTGCGCGCCATCCTCGGCATCGCCGAAGCCGTCTTCTTCCCCGGCGCAATCTACTACCTCTCAGCCTGGTACACCAAAGCGGAGCTTGGCAAGCGCATCGCCGGTCTCTACATCGCCCAACAAGTCGGCAACGCGTTCGGAGGACTCTTCGCCGCAGCCATCCTCCAACTAGACGGTGTCCACAACATCGCCGGTTGGCAATGGCTCTTCATCATCGAGGGCAGCGCCACAGTCGGCATCGGCATAATCTGCGCTTTAATCATGCCCGGATTTCCACACAACAGTCGCATCCTCTCCCCAATCGAGCGAGACCTAGCCGTATGGCGCATCGAATCCGAAGCCGGAGCCGCGGAAGGCTCCGAAAACGAACCCATCCTTCGCGGATTCATGAAAGCCCTCTCCGACCCCAAACTCGTCCTGATGATCTTCTGCAACATGCTCTCCCAATGCCAAGGCTCCATCGCAAACTACTTTCCCACCTTAGTCGGCTCCCTCGGTTTCTCCTCTAACACCATCAGCCTCCTCCTCACCGCACCGCCCTATGTCCTTGCGGGCATAGTCTACTACGGCCTCATGTTCTACTCCGATCGCTACAACACCATCTATCCACTCATTATGGCCTGCATTTCCATCTCCGTCGTCATGTACATAATCCTCATGTCCACCCTCAACATCGGCGCACGGTACTTTGCAATGATAATTCTCCCGTTTGCCTCTGTCGGTCCGCAGCTTCTACTCTACAAAACTATTAACCTGCATATGGCCCGTCCGGTATCTAAACGCGCTGCCGCCTCTGCACTGGTGAACTCTATCGGCTGTACGTCGAACATATGGGCGTCATATTTATATTACGATGGTCCGCATTTCTATGCTGCCTTTGGAACGCTCATGGGTTCGGCCTTCCTCCTGGCTGCTACGGTCACGGTGTATCGGTGGCTGGTCCGTCGCGAGAACAGATACCTAGATTCAGGCGACCCAGATCTGATCGGCAAGGTCGTCAAGGGCGGAGTTACAGAGGAGATGGTGCAGCTGCGGTGGCGATACGAGATGTATTGATATATAGCAAGGTACAACTCTGTGTTAATCAGACAAACTAGTAGTCACTGGTAGTTACATACATACACTCTCTCACATCTAGCTATAGAAAAACACTAGTCCAACCCACCCAAACACCCCATCACCAACCTCCCAATAACCCACCTCTCCCTCCAACCAAACACCCTCCTTGCCCAACGCACCGCCCCTTCCACATCCGCATCCCCAACGCCCACCACCCCCATTGCTCCAGGCACACCCCCTCTCACCAACTGCCACGCGACCAAAAACGCTTTATAGGCATACAACGTCACCCACGGCGCCTCGCCCTGCACATTCCCCTCCTCTTCCAAGTACATCAGAAACCAATCCACATGGGACTGGAACGCCTTGGCCGTCTCCGCTTCACAGAGGAACTCACACGCCGAGGGCGCCAGCTCCGTCGCTTGCTGGAGCATCGTATCAATACTGGCTTTGACGATGCCGCCTGTGTGGCTGGGTGACCACATCTGTAGCTCGATCATGGCGGTTTGCCAGGTTGCGGTGGCGTGGGTGGTGGATTTGGGGGGTAGTGTTGATGGGGAGGATGAGGTGGGTGATGGGGAGAGGAATACACCTAGAGATAGGAGCGATGAGCGCAGCGCTGAGAACCGCTCCATGCTTAGCATTCCGGTCATGGTGGACCAGCCGGAGATTTCGCGCGCGCTGGAGATGAGGAAGTGGGTGATATTGATTGCGCCGTAGGGGTCGAAGGGAGGGATGGTGGATGTCGATGGAGATGGAGATGTAGGATCTGTGGCTGGGGAGGATAGGAAGTGGCGGACTGCGTCGTCGTAGCGCATCGATGTAGCATGGTGGTGATGTTGTTGTTGGGAGATGAGTTGGAGATGCGCCCATTGTGCGGCGGAGGGTGCGGTCCAGTGGGTTTCTGGACAGGGAAGGTCGTGTTTGACTTCGAGGTGGGAGATGGCGCGGGGGATGGAGAGGAGTTGGTACCATAGGGCGTCGACTTGATGTACGGCGAAGAGAGTTCGTTTGTGGGATTCGGCTTTGATGAATTCTTTCCAGAGGGAGTCCAGGTCGGACGTGTTAACGGATTCGGTGGATATTGGGTGCATAAGGCCGGTGGAGCGCGCGAGGGATATCATTGTCGCATGCATTTGGAGGCCTTGTGTTGAGTCGGGGCCGCAGAGGTACATCATGGCGCAAATTTGGAGGAGGAGGTAGGTTTGGATTAAGGGGAGATGGTCGGTGGTGGTGGTGTGAGGATTGTCGGTGGAGGAGAGGAGGGAGCGCGCGAGGAGGTAGCAGCGGGTGGAGAGGCTGGTTCCTGTGTTGGAGCGGGCATCACATTCCGGGTCTTCGCCGTATTGGTATGCCAGGGAGAGCATGGCGAGGAGGAGGTGGGAGGGTATGGCGCTGGGATTGAATGTTGGGTGGTGGAGGAAGGGGAGGAAGTGTGACACATGCGTGAAGAAGAGGTTGCAGCCTTCGCGGATTTGTGAGGCAGATGGAAACCATTTGCTTTGAGACAGGGTACTCTCGGGTGCGATAGGGATGATAGAGAAATCTTTCGAAAAGCTGAGGTCGCTCAGGTCAATATCCGGAGGCTGTGAAGTGGATATCGCTTGCGGCTGGTTGTCGAACTGGTCTGTTGCTTGGGTAAATGATGTTTCGCGTAGCAGGCTACGTTCCAGTTCTAACGCGTCTAGCAAAACAGACTCGTCCATTGATATAGGTTGCGTCAGGTTAACTGGGGCAGGCTGGATACGATCACTGTTCTCTATGGGTGATCCGCTGGACGCAGTGCTAGTTCCTCCTGCATCATCTGCATATTGCTCTTGCGATGGCTCAGACGTCCATGCAGGCCTATCCAGCTCCAGCCCATCAACATCCTGTAGCTGCCCACGGTGCTGGCCAGAGTTCTGAGGCCGAAGGAAACACTCGTCCCTTTGTTTTGACCTCTTCGTCGTTCGTCGCTGCTCATGCTCGGCATGCTTCCGCTTCATATGCCGATGTCGCAAATCCGGACGCGAAAAGGTAGCCTGGCATAAGTCACACGGCAATGAAACCTCCTTTCTGGAACGAGAGTGCAGAGCTGCATGTCGTTTGAGATTCTCATGTCGAGTGAACCGGCGCATACAAACCAGACATTGGAATGGCTGGTAGGAGGTCATGGCTGCGTTGGTGTGGATGACAGCCGCCATGAGGAGAAGCTGGAGAGGAGGAAGAAGAAGCAAAGAGGGGAACGGCACGACGGAGCAAATGAGAAAATCCGGGGCGCATAGTCTTACCCCACCCCCGCAATTTGTCTAGTCGATCCTTCGGTTCGCAGATGACAGGTGGCTGGCTGCCCTTGGCACGCTTGGACTGTGTGACAGTTGGATGGCATTCGGCTTGGAGAGGAAGATGTTGCTCACATATACTCTGATTTTTGGTCCAGGAAAGAGGGGAAAAAGAAAGAAATACTGGGGGAAGCTAGTCTTATCAATGACGGGCAGATCGGCTATTGACTCTTATCTGATATCGTCCGTCTTCCCCAGATAACGATCTTTATCTGGTGGTCTCTGATTGGTCAGTGTTCCCCTATCAAGGCACTGCCATGTGGCCTCGAGATTCTCCTGGCTAACTCTTTGGTATTAGGTGTGGTAATTGCGTAGGCTCGCTGCTTCCAGCTGCTCAAAGCTGCTCAATAGCGGGAGAGTAGCAGATATGGTATACTACTAATTTCACTGTGAGTATCAGGCTGCCTCTTATCCTGGTGAATTTGCAATATAACGCCGAATATACTATATTATTTAGGATGTGACTAGACCATGAGGTGACCTAAGTACTACAGTTTCTCACCCCCAACAGTAACAAAGAACTTGAAAGAAGATGCTTACATCGTACTTGTCTCGTGTTCACTACTAGAGTAACTACAAAGTCCGTGGACTGAACGAGATGAATTCCCACCGAAGCACGCAGGCAAGAGGAATAGCATAACCCCCATCACATACTATAGCATTTTACAACTAATGTGAGGTCATCCTACTACAAACCTCATCAGCCTTATAACCATTCGAGTCTTCTGGCCTCCGGAATGAAGCCATAGAAAGAGATCTCCACAAAAGTTGAATGCCCCTGATTCACCCTACTTTAACTGCCAAGACCCCGAATAAGCAGCATCAAGTCAACCGATTTGCAACATGCTCGACGCAACCTCCATGCTATCATCACCTATAACTGCGATCCCTCATTGGTGCTTCAGATACAAAGAACCTGACAGCCAGGGCACAAATAAGATAAGATACTCCTCATAAGGCTGAGAGGCACAAATCGAGATCATCTGACTGCCAAGACCCGCCGTAATATCCGATCGGGCTAAAAGAGCATAAAGGGCCGATGCGCTACCACGGTACCATCAGCTTTCTTATTTATTTAAACTACCATTTCAATTCCTGGCTCCCAGGGGAGGCCTGATTTCTACACATCCTATTATTTCCCCATAAACTTACCTGTTTCGTCTTCAGAGTCTCAGCCAAGAACATGAACGCCGACAAGAAGCCCACTACCTCAACTTTACCCTCCTCATCCTCTTCGCAAAGGCCTACTAGCCTTCAAAGAATTGCACGGAGTCCGTGGACGTAAGTAAAATAAAATCCCATCATTACAACCCCAGTGACACAGAGCTGACTCATGTTAGCCTACTTCATATTGTACTATTCACCGCCAGTCTCAGATATCTGTGGAGTTATATGCAATGGCCTAAGGGAGGGGATATGGCTCTATCGCTCAATACTGCTCTTACAATACTCTATATTATTGTACGGCGCTATGTAGATGATTAGTGGAATGTCAGTTAATTTCATTCGAAGATGTTAGGTCCTAACATAGTAAAAAATGAGATGATGATGATCCTAAAGTTGATTATATGTTCCGCAAATCATTATGAATGATACAGAATTTGTACAGGCCCAACCCCAGTAATGCTGGGAAACGAGGTTCGCGTGAATTAACAAATCGCTCAGTATAATCCAGATAAAATGCCAAAATGTGCTCAAAATTTCTTCGTGCTGCTCGTTGTCGCTGAAATGTATTATATGGTGACCATGAATGTAAATGATTGGCAAATGTGCTACCAGATGCGGAACCCTCTCGGGGCTATTGAAGATATGTCATGCTTAGAATATACCGAATCGTTTCGATTTCCCTTCTATATCATATATTAGACAGGTTGTGACACAGTTGGAGAAAATACGCACCTTTCTTTTCCTTCTGCCCACTGCCAGTGCCCGCAGCTGCTGCGCTAGCCTTCTCTGGATTGACCCCGTCGACAGCCGCTCGAATGGCGGCAATTCGGCGTTTAGCTCGGAGATCTCCTTGCTCCGCTGCTTGCACGTACCAGACATTCGCTGCCAGGTGGTCTGGCCGGCAGCCAATGCCCGTTTCCGTGAAGTATCCAACCGCATATTGTGCCTTGGTGAGTCCTACACGATCAGGTCAGCATCTCATTGCTTGGGTTACTATGTAGGTATCTTACCAGTCTCCGCAGCACGCTTAGCCCATTCGTAGGCTTCATACTCATCCTTTTCCAGCACAGGCTCTGCCCCAACGAGGTACCAGGCACACAGTGCCATCATGGCCAGAGGATGGCCACCCTGCGCAGCGTTGGTATAGAAATGGATTGATAAGGCAGGATCCCTGGGGCATTCAAGTTTGCCATGCTCATAGGCATCACCCAAGCGATAGCTGGCCTCGATATGACCTAGGTCCGCCGCCTTGGTGAACAGCTGGGCAGCATAAGCAGGGTCTGGAAATACGTCGTCGCCATATCCCGTTTCGTGCATTAATCCCAACTCATAAGGAGCGGAGTTATACTGAACGTCGGATGAATCGGTAGCGCGTTTCATCCACTTGATACCTTCACGATAGCGTTTTCCTAGCCCCATATCCCCTTCCAAACAAGCCTTCGCCATACGTAGCATAGCGCCCGGGTGGTTTTTGGATGCTGCCTGTCGGTAGAACTGCTGTGCCCGAGCGGCGTCAACTCGGGTACCCCAGCCGAACTCATAACTCAAAGCAGTACGGTAGCATGCTTCGACATGTCCGTGTTTACTGGCCGCCAGGAACAGTGGAAACGCCCGATCATAGTCCTCTTTCCCTTTGCTGAACAACCCTGAAGCGTATCCGTCGGCCAGATAGTATTGAGCAAAGGGATAGCTGCGATCAGCTAGGCGCTGGAGGATGGACTTGGACTCGCGCAGAAGGCTAGCACGGTTGATGTCGCTTCCTTTTTGGCCATACACTGCAGATGTACCGTCAACCTCATCGGGTGGCATTTCCAACATTGCGTTCACCATGAAGATGGCAAACTCATATTGAATGGCGGGGTCGTCGGTCTTCTTGACATTTGCCAGATACATGTCGAACGTTTGTTTGTGGCTCAACAAGGATGCGTTGTTGCCGACAGCGGATTGCAGATGGGAGTTGCCAATCTGTACTGGGGCAGGTCCGGGTTGCGGATAGCAGCTGTTGAGCTGTTCAACGAAAGATACTGGTCGGACATCGGGAGATGCACTGGAGTCCCGGGATGATCCACGGGCGTGGAGGTACGGCGAGAGCCGAGAAGATCTCCGTCTTTCACCCAGGTCGGAGCCGAGCGAGTGTGTTGAAAGAGAACGCCCATTGACGGCTGGGCGTGGCTTCTGTAAATTCTCAGATGAGCCATCTGCTGGTGATTGCTGGTTTGCGGGCTGGGGAGCTTCGTACGGTCGATGATGGTAGTGCAAAGGTTCGTAGCATTCCGAGGCTTGCGTCGTACTGTCGAGACTGTCCCGGGAAGAGCTAGTCTGACTGTCTTTCGCGGGTTGTTGGTCCAACGAAGATGTGCTCGTGTTGGGCAGACTGTTGTCTTTGGTGTGAGGATCGACTACCGACCAAGACGCACTGCTATGGGGTGTGTGCCCGTATGTCCGATGCTCTGGTACCTGGGGGGCTTTGAAGTCATCTACCTGGGGTGGAGATGATCCATCGATGGTCTTTCCATGAGTCTGCTGCTGCTCGGAGAGAGATATGTGGGCGAAGTCATCAGTAGGAAGCGTCAGTTCAATACCGTCCTCATGATAATCCGGCTCCGTCGGATCGCTTTCCCCATGGATTCTGACCCGTGGAACCGAATAGCGTTGGCTTTCGGGGCGATCTTCCGGCATGTACACCGGATCCGTTAGAGACTTCCTGGGAATAGGCTTGCTGTATAAGCGATTGAAGCTGTCCCGCCGGGGTTCACGATGCACCGGGGGGATGGGAGGAGAAGAACGAAGATAAACGGGCGGAGGGGAAGAAAGCGGCTGGGGATAGCCGCCGCTGGCAGAGCGCGCCATCCTTCCTAATTCTTTGTGTTTGAGATCCGATCGATGATGGCAAAATGCCACAAATGTATGTATATTCCGAGCGTGGTCGCAGAACAATCCCTGATAGTGGGGACAATCGTCAAGATGATTTGAAATGGCCCCGGAAGTTATGCGATAAGCTGTGGACTATGCATGGGATATGAAACCTGCCATGTGCGCTGGAGCGAGGTGACGAATCTCGAGGGCTGCAAACGAATGGAAAGAGACAAGGCAACGAGGGGAGATCAGGGATCGCGGGACAAGGGGACTGCTGCTGCTGCTGGAATGTGGAGAAAGCTGGAGAAGTATGATGGGTCAGCTCAGGGAAATTCGGGGGGTCCACCGGGAAAATAGGCCTACCTTGCAGGAAACGCTAAACGATGGGTCCTAATGGGATGCAGCTGCTGGATTCCATGACGCAGAGAACAGAGGAGTGACTGGGGGATATCGGGGGGGACAAACGAAGGTCCAAAGGCCACTCAAACGAAGCGAGAGACCGATGAAAGAAGGGAGAAAAAAAAAAAAGACTTGCCAAGTGGGATTGGCGAAGAAGTGGGAGGGTTATTCTTGGGGGGCAGAAGAGGAGAAAATGGCTCGGGAAGAGAGTTGCGCCCAGAAGTCAATTCCGGCTTAGTTCCGTATAGAGTATGGAACTAGTAACAAACGGTACTTACTAGATACATGGTCCCTCACTAGTAGACTACTCACTCCAACTACCACCAGTAGAACCGAGTTGACGCTTGCACTAAAAAAGGATCATTGAATCATTTTCAACGGTCACGAGGCCAAGAAGAGACAGCTTACACTTACTCTTCTCGGCCCGACTAGCCCGACTGGGAATGACAGGGTCGCCAAAAATAGCCCCAAGTCGACTGCCTGCTTACGCTGTCTGTACCATGCGTGTCTCACTGTCTCACTTGCGCTACTTCCACTACAACTTTCAAGGCAACCCAATCCAATCATTCATCCCATGCTACGACTGTGCTGTTCATTTGGCTCCTCCAGGAATTAAAAATACGTCGAATGTCTTGGGCCACCGGGTGTCCAAGCTCCCGGGCGATTCCACGATCCATGGGTCATGAGGGACTCCGGTAGGCATACTTAATGGTGGTGGCTGGTTAAATTTAAACTACTCTACCACTACCCCTCCAATTGCTGTCATAGAGTGTGGACCCTTACGCCACATTGGGCTCAGGCCATATGAACTGGCTAACTATATTAATTCATTTATTTACCTCGTCTTTCGGTTGGCACTTTCGGACTGGTACGGCTGTTACATGGCTGATTCCCGCTATGGATTGCACAAAGCACTGTGAATCAGCAGACAACAATCGACTCATCCATTTCAGTCCTCTTTCGAGTCTCATATCTGCCAGGTATCTTTGATCTGGGTTCGTCCCCTTCGAAGGTGCTAGCCATCGATATTAACATGCCTCATGTTGAACCCTAGTCTCAGGCGATGATCCCCCACACTCCTCTCGTACTTACATGTATGTATGTAAGTAATAAGATCGAGCAAAATGGCGTGACAGCGATCCAAGCTCGCATCTTCCCGCCTGTAGCCTTTCGGACACGGAAGACCACAAGGCTGCTCCGTCCAGATTGTTTCAAAGTACCCATATTGGCGGAAGAATCGGAACCCCGTCGGCGCCAGTCGGTGATTGGTGCGCGCGACCCGGAGAACACAACGGAGCGGTCTCGGCGCACAGTCCAGTATAAGGGCTTCCCATTGGCTTCCGGGGCAATGGGCAATCATTTGCCCGGATTCCGATCGTCTTGGCCGCCCCGCGTGTTATCCTTTCTCTCTAGTTATGACTGCTTATTGCTAACTACTACGTAGTATATACATATTCTGAATAGCAGATCTTTCTCCTGATGTCCTCCCACCGCGTGAATCTGGGTGAATAAATTGTTTTCCCGTCCGTTACCTACTGATCAGTATCAATAAAGCTCAGGCCGTTTGTAGTGATCAATACAAATGATGTGAATCCGGGAAGCATCCTGGCCATATGTAGCTGGAATCGAAACAATGACATACATTGAATTCCCTGGATACATTATCGCTGTGAAGCACATGTGGCCCGCTCCGAAATAAGGAAATGCCACCTCATACACTCATACACTCATTATGACATTTTGAGCTTTGCTAGCAGCGATCTTGAAAGAATAATGGATATATTCTGATTGGACTACGCGCAATATGGTCTATTTATCTACTTCTTCCCATGGCATCTAATCCATGATATCATTACAGTCGAAGTGGCATCCCAGATATAGATTTTAACACCATGTTATGCTATGTATGCCTCATATATTGCAGGTCAGGCACCCCATGAAACCATCATTCAAGTACTCATTGATTAATGTGCAAAGGCCAAGGACTCCGACGGCGCACGAGTTGGGTCATACCCAAGCTTACCTTTGATAGAGACTCTCAATTCCCGGCATTTACTTGAGGTTGTTACGCGATGAACTCTATCAAAGTGTGTACGCATTCATAATCAGCATATGTCACTGTCATGGAGGCGGCCGTTCTCGTATCACGTGCATGGATATTATCATTCAGTCCGTCAATTGATCTCTGTCATGTGGGTACACGTGGTACAGTCGTTATTGAATCTCAATTCCCGTATAGGTCACATATATGATGTATCATTCGGAGCGCACGATTCGGAGCTCGGAGATATAGTGGTCAGGCTTTCTGTCAGGGGCAATATATCCAAGGATTGCCAGTGAAGTCGCAACTGACAGCCTTTCATACTAAGGAGGTCAGGTAGAGATTTCGACCTCCAGAGTGACTCTATAATTAGATAAGCGGATACCGAACTCATGTCCGTTCGAGAGTGGAGAGACGAGATTGCCGATCGCCTCGGGACCTGAACGAACGACAAGGTAACTGCCCTGATTTAGGGGGTAAGGGGGAGAAATATTCATGCTCATGAAAGGGGTGCGACCATGAGAAGTTACTAAAGTATATGGTCGGGCTTCCTTTGGACCTTCTGTTCATCATGGATTGAGGTACATATGGCTGAGAGGGAGAATTCGAAAGATTCTGGTGAGCGAGGCAGGATGGTCCGGTTTATAAAGGACCGGCCCTGGGTAATTCGAGTATGATTCGATACAGATTAAACAAACCACGACCTCCCTAGGCCGCCGCTATCCGGCAAGGGGAGCTGTCCGTGGGGCTTTCCTGCCAGCGGATTGTGAGAGGAATGTTGGTAGAAAACGGGGATACACAACACAGGCTTTTAAGACATCCCCTACATCCTTGGCAAGGATGCAGACTATAACGAGTGTCTCCAGAGCAAATGACGATGGATATGCTTCAGTGTCCCGTGTTGGTGTTTCAATCTGTGACTCAAGTCAAAGAAATCATGTAACTGCTGGGACAAAGTGATGTGTGGATAGGTTGTATTGCTGCTTAAGCGAGATATGACCAGGAGACTCACAGGGCTAAAATAATCTCCGAAGCTGCGTCGTGCAACGATTAGCGAGGAGGAGATCTCCTGAGCAGGCAAGGAATGAGTAATGTCTCAAGATTTGGGGAGTTGATAAAGGGGGTTCCTTATCTTATCGCTGCGGTGATCAAGCTCCATAGCTCCACCTGCGCGTCAATATTGGCTGATCGGGAGAATAGTCTACCGTCGTGCTAGAATGATAGTAGCTAACACAAAAGTATCTATTGTGGGAGAGAATGATGAACGCGAGTTCATTGTGGCAAAGATCATATCCCTAAACCAGAGGCAACAACTTCCTTAGTAAAATCCAAGTCTCCGCACGCCCACTGTGCCAAGGCATCAAGGACGCAGTAGTGTAGCAATTGCCAAGGGGGACGCCCTGACTCCAACCCGCAAGCCCGGCGACTATTGGCCCCCGGGCCTGCCGATCGCAGCGGGCGATGGAGCTGAGTTGGAGCCGACAATGGGCTGTCACTCGTCCACTGCACCTAAGCAGCCAGGGGCATGCCGATCCCAACCCCAGGGTCCCGCGCCGATCCCGCCGATTGCTGTTTCGGCCTGCGTTGGCGACGCTGGCCAGCTGTTGCTGCTTCCCTGCTATCGATTCTACTACCCAGTAAGTACGTAACTTGTTTTTATGTGGATAATATTATTATTCCAAAAATATCCGGTGGGCTAACCTTGTGCCTGCATCACATTCACTAACGACTCACTTTGATTATGACGCCCGATCGGAAAGAGCATCGATCGACAGCGCCTCCTCTCCCTGCCTAAATAAACGGTCGCGCCCATCCCCATCCCTCTTCGTCATCCCTACCTGACCCGTCTTTTGTTCCTTTCCTCTTTCTCCCAACCTTCCCTCCTCTCCACGTTCTTAACATTCCATTCTCTCCCTCGTGCACGCCCAGGTATGTGTCATTACCATTTCTATTGTCTTTATATTATCGAATAATTTCATTTGTCTAGAGACTAACAACGAGCGATCCTCTAGTAATCACAAACGCACGCCAACAATAATAACCCTTTACCTCTTCAAATTCCCTTACTCCACATATCACAATGCGTTTCTTCGCTGTCATCGCTCTCCTCGCCTCTGTCGCTGTCGCCAGACCGGCTGAGAATGGCGCCCTGAGCGCCCTCAACGTCCAGGTTATGTGCCTTGGAGTGAGTTTGGCCATGTCCATCATGTCATGATACAACAGCTTCCTAACAATTCCCAGCGCGACGACGGCCTTTGCGTTGGCGGTAACATCACGGCCGCCGGAAACAGCTGCTGCCCTCCTCTCGTCTGCGGTTCTGACCGGGTAAGTATTTCACAACATTGGCGATTTGCACCACAACGACTAACAAATATTACTTCTTCAGAAATGCCACTAAATGCCAAGCACCGAAGTCTGCCACGTTGACCATCAAGGAATACTCTATAAGCTGTGAAGATACATAATGTGTGTAGGGGTGAAAGGTGTGATGTCGGATACGCTGGCGTGGGATGAAGGCATCTCGAACGGCCGGGTTCATATTGTACTTGTCGAATACGACTAATATGTGTCAATAACATTGCGATGCTGACAAGCTCGCTCAAAAATCTCTGAGTTGGGGTAGTTAATTAGGAAGATATACTAACTCTATCTATTGCCATTAATTACTCTGACATATTGACCATGCTGGTAAACCATTAGCTTAACGCTGACCTAGGGACGAGTGACGTGCAACGATGATCACCGTATGATGAACTATTACTACATCTATCCCTTGTCTTCTGCTCCGATATCCCCTCCAATTTGCACATTCAACCCCCTCCACGCCCTGCACAAAGCCTGCGACGCGCTCCCAAAGACGCGGAAATGCCGTTCGTGAACACTTTCCTTTGACATTTCATGGTCAAGCGTCTTGAACCTCTTTCTGCACCCGCAGCCTACGAACGCAGCCAGAACATCACTCGGCCCAGCTCTTCACCAATGCCGACTATCATTCCTCTAAGGCAACCTTTGAAGAAATCGCCAGAGTACCTGATTTCCTCGACTTATTTTGATTGCCATCCAACACTGATTATCGCTGGTCGGTATCGGAGCTATTGTGTTGAACAAAAGGAGTGGTGATACGTGAGACATGAATCTATTTCTTCTCCCCCTAAAGCCTTGAATTTGATTACCGGTCGCTCAATCTTCTACACATCACAAACAGTAGATCCCGATCCTCTCTTGAATCACATGATGAGAGATGGATGGCCTCAGGATCATGTGTTCCATTATTTGGAAAATTTGTTAACACGCGCATCTACTACACCGTACAGCAGAGTCCCCCTTCAACAGGTAACTTCGACCCGTCGACTCGACTCTTTCTCAGCTGTGGTCCGGAAAATGTGATGTTTATCAGACAGACAAGACGCCGAACAGATTGTTGCTCGCCCCGTAACTAATCATTTGATAAGGACATGCCCTTTAGGAGTCCAAAACCTCCCGTCTTCCTCTTCATGCCGGTGGGACCATGTCTCGTTGCGCCTACAGGTGCTCTCGTGCTGCATCAGTTCTGGTTTCAGACACGGGCAGCGCACATTTGCTCATATCGCACATTACACATCGAAACTTCAAGAAACGTTCATTGGCGCGATATCGCTAACATATCATACTTCAGAAACTTCATCATTCTTGGCTCCAAGATACCTCCAGACTAATTCATTCAATCCCCCAATCAAGCAAACCCAAACCACTCCATATCCTTATCCCCATGAATCGGCACCGTATGACCCACACCCGTCGCGAAGATTCCCTGCAGACTATCTCCCCAGATCGTCGTCTCGTAATTCGTCTCTGGGGTGTTCGCCTCTGTCTTCTCCGGTGCGCTATAATCATATCCAAACACTCCAGACCACTGCTTGCACGTCTCGTAGTAGTTCTGAGGGTACAGCGTCGTGTCTATACTACCGTGGTAGATCTGCATCCTTGGACGACTTCCTGAGTATCCCGAGTACATTGCCTCGGCAATACTGGCCCAGTGCTCGGGGGTAGTAATTACATCACCCTGGGCGCAAGTGGAATTCCATCCGTCTACTTGGTTGGTGTTCGAGTAGAAGCACCCGGCTGAGACGCCGGAGTAGACGGTGGCGGCGGCGAAGAGTTCGGGGTAGGTTGCTGCCATTACATTCTATTTTTATTAGCATGCACAACTTTTGCTATTTTAATGTGTAGAGAGGGTAACGGTTTGAAGGGAAGGGAGAAATACCGTCATCATAGCCCCCGAACTCGATCCCGTCACGAACACCTTGGTGCTATCGGCCCCATACTCGCTGATCGTCCACGTCACCATGTTGGCAATGGAGTTACTGTTTCCACCGCCATTGTGTGTTAACGTTGCCTGCGAGCTTACGTCCCAACAGCCACCGGAGTATGGGCTGGACGGGTAGATCACGATGAAGCCATATTGCTCGGAGAGAGTGGCGTAGGGGGAGGCGCTGTAGTAGCCGGGACCGGTGCCGGTGCCTATGCTATGCTTAGTATTGTGGTGTATATTGTAGAAAAGTGGGGGAACATACAGTAGTGGATTGCAACCACGATACCGGGATTCGAAGCCAGGTTGTTAGGCACGTAGATGTACATGCCTACATTTGTAGGGTTGTCACCGAAATCGGTGACTTGTTGGAGACTGCCACTGCGCTTGACAGCATGGGCGGCGATGGGATGGAGGAGGGAGGTAACGAGGGTGGTGATGACGAAGAGGAGGTGGGTTGATAGTAGCATGATGGCTGTTTCTGCCGTGCTAGGCAGTATGTATGAATCTTGTTAGATGGAAAGGGATACAGCTTGGGCAGTAGGGAATACGCCAGAGGATTCGAAGACGATTTATACCGCTGCAGGGAGCGGGTAAATTGAAACATCGTGGAGTAATTGTGTGTTTCTATAGTTATACGGAGTATTGGTTCAGTGGGTATATTGCGGTGGTCTAGACATAGGAAAGACAGTGTAGGCTGATTTCATCACGGAGATTAAGCAGGGCTAATGTGACAGCCGTGACAGCTCCGACATGAGGAGTCTGGGATAGACAGCACGGAGTGGGAACTCCAGATCGAAATGGTTAGAGATCGTCGTTGCGGGCCGAACTCCGTAACAGATCCCGTTAGAGCCACTGCAGGGCTGGACCACTGGTAATTCTTCACACTGGCGGCTGTCCGAGTCTACCATTAAATAGCCGGTATTCAGCCAGAATGGATATTTGGCTGCGGAATAATCTGGGGTAAAGCTTAAGCAATCGGCATATTTCTATGCCATGTGAGTGAGCTTCTTGGGAGTATACACCCGGAGCTGACGAACGGATAGTTTGGATAACAGTCATAGCAGGCTCAAGTCAGACCTGAACTCTGTCGCAGCCTTTTGCTTGAGGCAAGAAAGGTTTCAGATGGCTTAATTTGGATGAAAAAGAAGTGGAAAATATGATGTGGGTGGTCCAGTACATGGTTGGACTTATTGGTGACTAGTAACCCTAGTTTCTGGAGCACGGCCTTACATCTCAGATAGTTAGTCGATAGGACTTTGGTTTTATCTAATCGCATTCATCAGTAACGTGGTTATTTTTTCCGTCAGATGAAAGGAGGAGAGGAGAGCATGTAGCTGTCCCACAAATACGATATCCGCCTCTCCCCGTCCTCTTTTGCACTGTCGAGGTCGGTAGCATTTCAATTCTGGATTTTTCATTATGCGAATCCGGGCCTCTTTACTTATCTACCTTTCTTTATATCCTCCTTTGTCGTAAGCCCAGATCATAGTGTTATCAATGGCAATACCACCAAGTCCACCTTTCTGGCGTCATACCGTCTTATTCCTTGATATACTCTGCAAGTAATAACTGTGTCATCCCGGGCCCATGGTAAGTATTTCCAACGACTCATTCACCGGTAATCTGCAGTTTCCTCTAGCCAATAGAAGCTCTCTACTCTCCTAGATGTTGGAAGAATCGCGAAAATCCACTTTGCCCTTTTGGCCAATAGCGACGCGCCGGTTTCATATCTGGGACGCGACGAGGCTGACAATGGGGTCCTTCCTAATCGAGCAAAAATGATGCCTGAGGTCATTATTAGGACCTAGTGACATCCACTCCCAGACCGCCTTGTTATAGGCTAACTAATGATACAGCAAGATACGATCATGCGCAGACTTGGAGTTTTTAACATACAATACAAACTAACAGTTCGGTACATCAACACCCAACGAATGAGGAGATTTCGCAGGTTAGATCTAGAGCTGTGCGCGAGCTTCTGCAGCAGGGCCTAATGGGCTCTTGAAGCCAGCAAACCCGTTGACTTTTGTATCTTCCAGCTTGGCACGGAATGCTCCCAGTCCCCCAAAGTAGAAAAGACTCGACGTTGCGTCTCCTGGTACGTTCTTCCTAAACATCCACGATGACCCTTTGTTGAAAAGAAGCATCTTCGCTATCTGCTCGCATACCTCAGTCCACTCACGCTCAGCTTGTTCTGTGGCTTCGATCTCACATTGCTGCCCTGTGTGTCTGGTGATATCCTGGGCCTGTCGGATCGCGTCTCTCAAAAAGCTAACCTGTATTTCCAGTAAAGGAGGCACGTTGCCGAAAGCCACCCTCGGACCAAGCACTGTCAGCAGGTTTGGAAACCCGGCAACTGAGCAGCCTAGATAGCAGTCCGGGCCAGTACGCTTCCAACGGTCATACAGAGTTTCGCCCTTCTCACGCCCTTGAATGTCTATTTGAGCATAGGTTCTGTCCATAGCGTCAAAGCCAGTTGCGACTATTATCACGTCTAGCTCGTGGAGTTTGCCGTCTGAAGTACAGATACCTTCTGCCGTTGCCTTGGTGATGGGATATTTCTTTATATCAATCGCATACACGTTCTCCCGGTTGAACTGCTCATAGAATCCAGCGTCTGACAACGGCCGTCGATTCCAGGCCTCCTTTGGAGTCAAAACAGCCCGCTTCTCGGGATCCTTCACAATCTCTGCAATCTTCCTGCGAAGGAATCGGCAGACCTCTTCATTAGCCACTGCATCCATAGCAATATCTGAAAATTCTGCAAACATCATCTGGATACCGTTTCCGTCCCTCCAGAGATGCTCCAAGATCTTCTCACGCTCCTTTGGGGACACGGACATGAATGGTCTGTCGTGCTCCAGAAAGCCCATTCCCAGCCGGGAAGTCAATACGTCTGACCAGACCTGCGGGAACTTCTCATCCATTGATTTCTGTTCTTCGGGAGTCATGTGCTTGTCGTTTGCTGGGATAGTATACTGTGGAGTACGGATGAAAACATGGAGCGATTTCACCTTGCTAGCAATAGCAGTGACTACTTGTACCCCGCTTGAACCAACGCCTATGACACCAACACGTTTGTTTTTCACTTGAATGCTTGGATCCCACGCAGCTGTATGGACAACCCGGCCTTTGAAGCCTTTTAGACCAGGTATATTGGGGACCTTGGGCTTGACGAGAACCCCAACAGCCGTGACAAGGTATTTCACGCGATATATATATCCAGTCCGGCACTGGACCCTCCACACCTTAGCAATATCATCCCATCTGGCAGCGATCATCTCCGTATTGAAATGGATGCGGTTTCGGAGATCATGTTTCTCGACAACATTCTTGAGATAGTCCAGGATTTCTGGCTGGGTAGAGTATCTTCTCACAACCGGATGGGTCTGCAGCAGTTCTTCGTCGAAGGCATAGCGATAAACATGACTCCAGCTGTCGCTCAGAGCACCCGGGTATCGATTCACATACCATGTGCCACCGACGTCACTTTCCTTTTCAATCGCCTGGACAGCCAAGCCTTCCTTGACGAGGGTATATAGAGTATAGATACCAGAGAAACCAGTCCCTACAACGAGGGCGTCGAGGCAGTATTCATGGGACATCTTGCTGTTGCCAGGGGCACTGCTTTGGGTTGGAATTCTCCCTGTCTTTTTGTGAGCTCGCTGAGATCGACTAGTTTATATCCCTGTGCTCTGATTACTATTCAGCTCGACGTCTGCAGTGCTTCTGTCCTTGGCTAAGGATCCTTACATATGTGGCTGCACCTTAACCAGTCATCGCATTGACAGTGGCCGGCCTCATAAGACACATCCTGGTTGCTGGCCTTAAGACGTAACACGAGGATGACATACCAAGGCCACCTTCATAATTAGGAGCTAGGACTCTTCGTAGCATGCCCTAAGTATAAGTATAGAATCGAATTGGCCTGCAACTCCCCAGATAAGAACCGGGCGGTCACGCGATCTGAGGCTAAATGGCCGCGATCTTTTCACTTTCCGTCTTCTACCATCTTTCCCACCCTCATAGCTGCTTCGTGATTCTTGTTTGCGAGTTTGAAGCCGTTTCCGGGACATCAAAGTCAATATGCTGACTATTCTCATGACACGGCGGAATCCAGAACCCAACTTTAGGCCTCCAACCAAACCTACCCCGCTCTTCGTGCTCACACTCTCGCTGCAGTTCTGTATTAGCCGATCGCTTCTTAAGCTTCAACAAAAAGATCTCGGAATGCCCGAATTTTGTGACAGGGAATATACTTGCCACTTTGCAACCTGACAGTCAACACGAGGACTTCAGCAACTCGTGACCGAGATGATCAACGATGCCTTTGATCGCTCGACAGCTGTAGGTTTATCCCAAAACTCTCTGTATCCTTCACCTTTTCATTATCTTCCGACTGGAGCTGTCAAAGTGTAACAATACTGCCTTTAGTGTATTAACGCTTTTTTTCCCCGTGCAGAAGCCATGGCCTGACCGTGATCATACCAAGTCATCCTTGAAGCTCTTCATAATCCGTGGCGCGATAACTTCATTCACTCCCAGGTGTCCGAACTTAAGCACAGTCATGACCCGAGCGTCCCAATCTTCTTTAGCTTCCCCATAACCAAAGACTATCTAGCCAATACTCGTCAATCTAGGATATCCTACTTGTTCAAAAAGTCTGCCTGCGGAATGAATCCCGATCAGGCAACGCAACATCCACTTCGGGACGATATACGGGGACATTCTTGGTGTGACTATGGCATAAGCTGAGTTACACAGAGGCTTGCAGGTATAAAGAGACTGAACTCTACTCTGCGTATCTGATGTAAGCATCATATATGGATCTCAATCGCCCAACATGCGACGGATTGCTTTACTCAAGACGCTCTGTCTCTTGCTTATAGGTCTCACAACCAATGTACTAGCTCGGTCTCGGCCTGAGCACAAACCAGGATGGGTACGCCACGGTCAAGTGAGAAAGGGCTGGATGCACAACCTGCAAGCTCGCTCCGCAACACCTTTATTTTCCAGGCACGTCGAGCAACTTTACAGTAATCAAGTCTCCCAATGAAAACGTCTGGGGAGGCCTGACAGATGTTGAGACAGCATCTGTTGTGCACTGGCTGCTCCAACAACCCGAGCTTAACCTAACCGCTACCGATGACGCCGGAGAGTGGGATAATACAATGTAAGCTTAGCTACTCCGTTCACGGTAGCACACTGACCACATAGTTCCCTTGTCGAACTGATGCGTCCGAACAAGTCCGATGTGCTGCAGTATCTGGACCACGATCAACCCCCTCCCACGCGTTATGCACATGTTGTGCTTGACGTACGTGCTACTCTCGACCCATACTACGCCGAAATACTGGTTGGACCTCTGCCAGTTACCAATCAATCTGCCACCACTTGGGTGCCACTTGAATATCCTTACACGCGCAAGACACAAGGCCGCATACGCAATCTTGACGCTGACCACGACACCATTCACTCTGAATGGCTATACAAGATCAGCGCTTCGATAGTCGACATCACTCTGGAACTCTTCAACGGCACAGCCTTAGGCCTAGACAATGATACCATAAGAAACTCAGGGATTAACCCCCTGTGGCAGGGTGATGGTCGGACCATCCGTTGGAATACATTTTGGAACCTCCCTGTTGACGACTTCGACGCCAGCAGCATTCTTCCCCTGGGATTATTCTTCAAGTCCGACATCACAGGCCGTGATCCATCCAAGTGGAAGCTCGAGGGCTGGCTCTACAATAACATATTCTACGAAACCACCAACGCTTTTCGCAAGGCATACTACTCCCCAGGCTTCGTCAAGCTCCTCTCCAATGTCGAAGGCGACTGGGCACGAACAGACCAACAGGGGCCGATCCTTCCAGAAGACCAAAAGCAGCCTTCAGTCATGCTTGCCCCATCAGGAGCACGGTACGCTCTCGACACCAACCAAAAATACGTAACCTGGATGGGCTTTTCCTTCTATATCGGCTTCTCCCGCGACACCGGTGTTTCCATCTTCGACGTCCGCTACAAGGGACAGCGCATTCTATACGAGCTAGGTCTACAAGAAGCTCTGTCACACTATGCAGGAAACGACCCCGTTCAATCCAGTACCGCATACCTAGACTCCTTCTACGGATTCGGCCCATACACATTCGAGCTCGTCAAAGGCTACGACTGTCCAATTTATGCCACATATCTCAACACCTCCTTTTACAAGTCCGAATCAACACACACCCACGTCGACAGTCTCTGTCTCTTCGAATACGACACTGACTACCCCATCCAGCGCCACACCACCCAAAGCTACGTGTCCAGCACCAAGAACATCTACCTCACTCTCCGATCCGTCTCCACCATCGGCAACTATGACTACACCATCAGGTAACACCCTTTCCACCATCCCTCACTCACTCATCACTCAACTAAAAGATCAATCCCAGCTACACCTTCCACCTCGACGGCACCATCGGCATCGAAATCCGCGCCTCAGGCTACATCCAAGCCGCCCACTCCACCCACAACACCAACTACGGATACCAAATCCACTCTGCCCTCTCCGGCTCCATGCACGACCACATCCTCAACTTCAAAGCCGACTTCGACATCCTCGGCACCGCTAACTCCATCGAACTCACCTCGCTCGTTCCCATCACCACCACCTACCCATGGTCCAATCCCAACAGACCCCGAAACACAATGCACCTCTCCCGCCGCATCCTCTCCTCTGAAACAGAAAGCCGTCTCAACTTTCCCCAATCAGCAACAACAACAATGCTCAGCATCATAAACCAAGACGCCCGCAACTCTTACAACGAATACCGCGGCTACCGCGTCCTCCCATCCTCACCCCTCTCCTCCGGACACTTAACAATCATAAACTCAAGCACCCTAATCCACGCAGCCCACTGGTCCGAACACGACATCCAAATCACCCAACACCACGATCACGAACCGCGGTCCGCGCACCCATACAATAACCAAGACGTATATAACCCCGTGATCAACTTTAACGAGTTCTTCGATGGCGAGGACCTCAATCAGACGGATCTGGTGGTCTGGGTTAATTTGGCGATGCATCATGTTCCTACTACCGGGGATTTACCGAATACGGTGATGACCACTGCGGTGGCGGGGGTGAGGTTTGTGTCGGGTAATTATTTTATGGGGGGTCAGAGTCGCGGGACGGTGAATATGGTTAGGGTTGGTTTTGGAGATGAGGATGTGGTGGAGGAGGTGGAGACGTTTGGGCAGGCCAGGGAGATGGTGGAGGTTGTGGTGAGGCCGGTGGAGGAGGTGCTTTGGGGGTGATTATTATCTTTTTATATCTGATCTGTGTGTATGGATCCTATAGCATCTATCTATATATATCTCCCCCCATCCACCGTAATCACCTGTCCCGTCATATAACTCGACTCCTTGCCCAACAAGAACCCAACCGCATCAGCTATCTCCTCTGGCTTAGCACACCTCCTACCCAGTGGCACCTGACTCGTGTACTCCTCCTGCATCATCTTAATCGAGATACCATCTATTAGAGGCGTATCCGTAGCACCGGGCGCCACGCCATTAACTCTGACCCCCTGGCCCGCAAAACTGGCAGCCCATGCTTTCGTCATGCCCAACACGGCATGCTTGCTCACCGTGTATGACACGTACCCCGGGTTAGCGTGAAAAGACGCCGTTGAGCATAGATTTACAATCACCCCTCGGCCTTCTCTAGCTGTCGCTGGGTTGAACTGCTGATCGGCTTCGCTTGGGAGAATGTGCGAGAGGAATGCTTTCCCCACGTTCCATACGCCGCGGACATTCACCTCCATGACTCGGTTGAAGAGCTCATCGGATTCGAACCCGAAGGCGACGGGTTGGTAGGCGATTCCGGCGTTGTTGATTAGGCCGTGGAGGGTTGGGGTGGTGGTGGTTATTTGGTCGAAGGCTTTTTGGACGGCCGTTACGGAGGAGACGTCTGTGTTGGGGTAGAAGTGGAGGTTTTTCTCCTTCTGGGAGAGGTGGGAGGGGAGTTCTGGTGGGGTGGATGAGATGTCGAGGACGTGGACGATGGCGGATCGTGCGAGGAGGTAGTGCAGGACGGCGAGGCCGATGCCTGAGCAGCCGCCGGTTAGGACGTAGGCTTTGCCTGAATGGTAGTCTGTTGTGAGGGTCATGGTCTTAGAGCTCGGGTGTTTTGGAGTTTTGGGTTGAATGATGAGGCGAGAGTGGGTTTGGCTATGAGAGGGGCTGGTTGGTGCTTTTCAATGGTAGAAATCTGATAGATGGTAGCTATTGCGGTGTAGATATAGCACAACATGTATAGGGGTGGACAATCATGTAGATTGCTGTCCAGGTTGAGGTTCATGCATTGGGATGACTTCTGCATTGAGCAAACGGCATGAATGTGGTTTTACCCACCAATTAGCAGCCTTGTCCAAGCAGGGATGTTTCTCGAACTGATGGAAACTGCACCCAACACAGTCTTCGATAGGCCAGCCAACTTCTTGACTTCAAGTTTGTGCGACTGTCAGATGCGTGGTAATCTTGTTTTAGGAACACTAGTAGGAACTATGGGCCCAGTGCGTCTCATGCTGATAACCGATGCACATTGCTGTCCAGTCGATCACACACCCTTGTCTAGCATGCTGCAGCGACTGACATCATACTTATTTGGTAGTGATCGCCGGCTTTCTTAGTTTGACGTATCATTAGCGCCCTATCTCAAGCATCCCTTGATCTCGGCGGCGTTGGTCATGTATGTGGTCGCTTTTGGTGGTTTTCAGCTTCCCTTAACTGCAAATGTCCGTTGGTCTGCAGCTGAACATTTTATGCAGCAACTGTCACACTAGGAGAAGAGCAATGGTTTCCGCCCTGAGGAAAGAACCTGCACATTCCAAGCATTTCACTTGGAGGGTTGTCATTTTGGCACACATCACTGTAGTTCAGTAAGCTCTCCTTGCTCCATCCTAGGTCTGGCTTCCAAGACCACACTGCCAATTTCAAAGGCCAGACTGTGTGACCATTGGTGGATGTTTGCAAACCCCACGCTATACAGAGCTCAGTGAGAGATTTTGGTCCAGCATCACTAATTAAGCCACAGCCTCCCTAAGCGCTCAGCATCTGCCTGGGGATTCGTTTGCCATAGTCTAGGCATTCTTCTCCCCAACCTTCCATCGTATGAAATACTTCGTCCGAGCCTGGATCTCGACACCAACGATATGAACTCGGCGATCTATCAAATTTTCATAAGTTTGAGGCTCGAAGTTCGAGGGTTTCTGCTTATACACCGCATTTCAGACACGCGAAGGGGGTTCGAATGCGTATGACTTGTTGCTATGCTGCTTAAATTATTCTTGATTCCCGGGATTAGCATCTCTCTGTATTTATGATTGTTGGTCACTGGTAAGCATGCACCTCTATTGTGCAATTATCCGCTGTGCTTACACCGCTCATCCAATAGTATGTGGGGTCCAATGAGGTTATGCACCAGATCTTTATCATTAGCAAGTGTCCGGGGCAGACAGCAATGACAAGGGATATTGTTCTTTCCGGTCCAGCAAGGCCGCCAGAAACGAGGTCGAAGCCCTGTAGTATTTCTCGAACTTCAGGCAGACGAGAGCATTTCTAGTGCACAGAGACTCTAAGAATGTTCGGTTAGTTAACCACCAACTAAAACTACCAGCGAAACCGACTAGACGAATCAAGTCAGTCTCCATTTAAGCGAGGCCATGCACGCTTGCGAGCCAAACAAATTTCACTGCACATAGGATAAAAGTCCCTAGTGCAAACTAAACCAACACACCCACCAACTAGTTAGTAAAAGCCCCATTGTCCGTGACCATCATATCCCTTGCAGTAATCCGCGTGTCAATCCCAGTGATGATCTAACAGCGCTGCACTAAAGAAGAATAAGGAACGGCAATAGAGAACCAACCTGCGGCCGAAAGCGCCTACCATCCATACCGAAAGACGGAAAATATGTCTCATCGTACCCAAGGATCGCCCGAGCGGCCCTCAAATTAGCTTTCCACGGTTTCCACCAGATCGGGCCCGTCATTCCCCTTTGGAAGATAATTCCGAACCACGGTTCTAGCCCTTTGGCCAGAAAGAGGGATTCAGGTACCCTGATACAACACCCAGCCGCGATCGAACCAGCATCAGTTTGCGAGATGGAGAATAATCTCGCTCAAAGGAACCAGTTTCCGGTCGTTTCCGGGTCTTGGCCGAGGGGTATCCACTGAGGCGAGCTCGCTGGATCGGCATCTATCTATCTAGACTAAGTTTTTCTGACGGGATGTAGATAGTCTAGTATCTTGGAGCATTTGTTAGCTTGTGTTTTATGAGGATGGTCGTGCTGTGGAATGCGGATTCTAATAATATCTGGTTCGTAGGAGAGAAAGAGATGAAGCGAGGCTTACCAGGGTTGAAGTTGTCGGGCACCGTTGGTTTCATTGGGCTAGTGTGTGAAGTAGAGGGTTTTCGTTCCTTCTGGTTAGCGTGCAATAAGTGCTAGATAGACGCAGGTAGTGTTTGGAGAGTGTGATTGAAGCCAGATGGAGGTGGACTTCGGTAGTTTATCAAGCTGATAGGTGCCGCTGAGGTATTCGAGCCATTGTTGTGCACTGATTGGATCAGTACAGCCACGTATGTCCTTTTCCGACGCTCATATATGGCAAATCAATGACCGTCAGTGAGGCCATAGGACAATTCGGCTTGTCCACTCAGTGGTGCTCAATCTCATCCTCAACGAGTCTATCATCAAGCTGGTTCACGATGCACGATGAAACGACAAACAGGGCATAAGCTTACAACCAGGAAGTGAGATACGGACAAGCTCAGTCAGGCAGCATTGATGGAGATGCAGAGGAAGTCCGAGTCAAAAAGGAAAGTCGAATCCGTGCGCCTCGTCACGAGATCCCTCGGTGTGCCTGAGGTTCCATCCAACTCGGATGACAGGAAGAAACATTGAATTTGATCTCGTCCTTTACCTTCCTCTACCACTCTCAATCTACATTACTACGAGTCATCTCCTGCTTGGTTCCTCTATCATACCCGCACAGAAGAATGCACAGGCACAAGCTAACTACGTACTGCGTATCCTCGACCAGACAAGTCCGGCCCCAGTCCCACCATCCTACATCCTGCCATCATGCCCGCGAACAGTATCACCGCGATAAGGGTTCTAAGAAAATGTCTGCCTTGACAGGATGAGGTCTTTTCCGCACGCCCGGAGCCCTTGGCGCATACGTCACGACTATCGTGCAGTTGAACCCAGGGTTCAACTTCTACCGTATATCCGATGGTTGAGAGATGATAGACAGGGGGGGTCCAAGGGCATGAGGATACAGGGACAGACCAATTGAGCATCACGTCCTTACCCCGAAGGGTATATCCGTGGAGGGACCCTAGCCACGTGCTGGATTGAACTGGAACAATCGTTTCGGCCGGATCCTTCAGAGGAGGATGGATCATACGGTATACCTGTTCAGGGTCGAACATATCCAGTTACTGTGTCTCCTTGACTATTACTGCGCCCGACCCCACGCCAGCCAGCCAGCCAGCCAGACCCTGGCTACAACCGCAGCGCGTGCATTACACCACTCAGGATTCAGGAGGTTAGGATGGCCGTTACCATTCTGCTATCCGTGCAAGGTCTTCCCTAAACGTCCGACCCGACAAGACATGGCAGTATCCGCTCTGGATTCGAATCCCTGTCCTAGATTGTATGATCACTCTCGTGAATGTTTCTCGGGATGGCTGGCTGGTGGTAGTGGACTGACGCGACACCCCTCCCTCCCTCCCCTCCCTCAGTGCAACGAGACTGCCAGGGGTACGTAGTATAGAAGAAGGTACAAAGTCCACCGGGAGAAGGGATAGGATAGGACAAAAGAACAAACGCCCGCCGACACAACCAAACCAAGGCAGGGAAGAGCGAACTAGAGCACCAGCATCCAGCATCCACCGACGATCGTCATTCCAAATATGATATAGTCTTTTCATGCGTTCGCCCTAGTGTGTCACGGTACGTGCATCAATAGAATGCAATCCGACGATCGGGGTAGCATCTAGTCCGCGGAAGTGTTCTTGCTGTGAGTGAGAAAGAGAAGAGACGGACGACGAGTCAGGGTTGCAAGACCTGGAACAGAAACAGAAACAGAAATAGAAAGTTTCCATGTTCGCCGATGTTTCGGCTCCGAGGCAAGAAAAGTAAGAAGTGTGGTTCGACCGGACCAAGGAATTAATCAATCAATCCATCCATCAATCAATCGATCGATCCTTAACTAGGCTCAACGGTTGACCCCGCAGCCTTGTCACGAGCG